AAAATGACTCCAAAGTTTGTGTCATCGTCCAGTTTAACCAGCATATGTTTGCTTTTTTACTGATGATATTGCCATAAATAATAACTAAGCCTGGCCTCAAGACAAAATCCATGAAGAATATAACTTCATTCTAGTTTAAAACTTGTGTTTTCCCTCCCTTTTAGCCAGTTATTTCTCTAATGAAGTCCAAACATGGAATCTGTAACACTGTCTACAAAAATCAGTTACTGAAGAAGACTTCCTCTGGTAAATTCTAATTCCATTTACTCCATTAAGCATTTGCCTCCATGTCCAATTATTTCTGCCTTCCAAGATTTCCTCTTACATCTTCCGTGTGAATCACATTATCCTCATACTTAAAATATGAATACGACACAGTATTCCACAACCCGATAGCACTATTTGTGGCTTATTTGGATTAAAGAAAACACACATTACGGCAAACGCAGCCGGAAATCTAATTTTTTGCTGGGTATGACAGTGAAAGATATATGCCCCTCCGACTTGAGCATATGAATTTTGCTCCATATCAATGATGCCACCATCCTCAGAGAAAAGTGAGAGGAAGAATTAATTTCTAAGAAAGAACAGAGAAAATATTTGCCCTTGTCTTACAGCTTCTTTCCTTTTCCTTCTTTTAGATGGGAAAACAAGTTCCGATACTTTCTTTGCAAGGTCTAATTCAGCTTCGTACCTTTATCTACACTTGCTGACATCCAAGTCTACAGTTTCCGTATCTACAGTCATACAAGGTTAAGAGTCAGGTTGCATTCAAGTAGCTTTAACTGAACTCTCATGACCAGGGTTTCTCCTAATTAAAAAAAATTCAGACCACAAGTCTTGCGACTTGACTTCTTGTAAAGAGAGGATGCAGCAGAATGCAGCATCCATGAGTGTTTCACCCTTGACACCAGTGGAACCAGGACCTCACACAACCCCTTCATGTCTACCCAAGTCTCCTACACACCTACATGTGTGGACACAAAACTCAACTCCATTCACAGCAGCACAAAATCCAGTTTAACCTATGAAAGTTTAGAAACACTTGAAACAAGTTACAACTATTACTTTTTGCACCTCAGTTTATCAGAGATATTTTCCTGCTGGGCCACAAAAAATTTATATCAAAAGGAAACAGGTGGTAGGAGGGAAGAGGAAGAACAAATAAAAACATCAACAAAAGAAGCCCAGCTCAAAAATTCCAGTGGTACTCAAGGAAACAATGTGAAAGATACTGATCGGCAAACACTGTTTTCCTTGTTCCAGTTGCACCGTTAAGATTAAATCACCCCAAACCAAGATCCAGTACGAGCATGGATATTAAACCTGAACAAATCTAGCCTACAGAAGGGGAGTTGGAACAGCAACATCTTCCAACTGCTCCTTAGCTGGAAGAATGCATCCCATGGAAGTGAAGGCTACTTCTTCCTGCTCTGTGACACACGCTGTAATCAACAGAGACAAATTAGATGGAAGCAAATTTTAACCTATTAAGGCCTTTATAATTTTTAAGTGTTGCTTGTGGTTAGTATATGAACTTCTTCTTTAGAAACATGAAGGTACTTGTTATTTAGTGTTGTAAATATAATAAATAAATAAATAGTGTTAGGAGGCTCAGGAGCGACCTAATCACTGTCTACAACTATCTGAAAGGAGGTTGCAGCCAGGCAGGGGGTCAGTCTCTTCTCCCAGGCAACTAGTCACGGGACAAGAGGACATTAACCTGCACCAGGGGAAGTTCTGGTTGGACATTAGGAAGAATTTCTTCACAGAAAGGGTGATTCAGCATTGGAATGGACTGCCTAGGGATGTGGTGAAGTTACCATCCCTGGTGGCATTTAAGAAAAGACTGGACATGGCACTTAGTGCCATGATCTAGCTGACATGGTGGTGTTAGGTCATAGGTTGGACTTGATGATCTCTGAGGTCTTTTCCAACCTTAGTGATTCTGTGTAAATGCCATTTCAAAAAGCTTTTGCAAGACCTATGATTAATTCCTAAGAAAACTTTATCCAGATAGAGAACTGTGTGTAAGGAGAATGAAGTACCATAAATGGGGTTCGTACTCTCATTTTCACAGAAATAATTATCAGTGTTCAGTTACAGGGTAAAAGTAAACCCTCAGTAGGGAATCCTTGATCTTGCTTGCAGACTGGGGAGATGGACATGCATGGAGTGGCTCTTTGGCAGAACTGGACTCCACATAGATAAAAAGAAGTCTGTTATCCATCTGGTGCTGTAATTGGCAGACTTTATAGGTAAGAAATATGTTACCCAGCTTTATATGAAAACATCTTCATATAAAATGTCATCACAACTTTTACATTTTGCATAGGATACAAATTCGTAAAAAATGGCGGGTGTGCCCTCTGTTCCTGAAAAAAATCAACATGCATTCTTAAGTCCTGTTTTCCCTCTGAGTTTTCAGCTGTTAGTAGGGCATCCACAAAGGTCACCTTGGACAGCAATGGAGAGACAAAGCGAACGACTTTCCATGACTTTAGAAAGGTCTAGCAAGAGCATGTGCCCTTAGAGGACACAACACGTCAATACGCTGAAGTTTACACATGGCCACAGAATTACAAAAGAACATGCCAGCTCTCAGTACAGCACAGAGTTTGGCCATCAGCCACATGCTGAGGCTGGACAGTCTGGGGAGCCTGCTCAGCCAAGGTATATTCTGAAGGTGCCCCAGTGAAGCTGAGTCTCTCCACTGGAACTCAAGCACACAGCTATTACCCTTCCTTCTTGGGGTTCTGTGCAGACTTGCTTTCCCTGCTTAGGCTGGCAAATAAAGAGCTGTAGTATCTCCCACTTGTATTTGAGACTGTGTATCGTGCTTTGTCATTTGACCCCTGCAGTTTCAAACTCGTTGTCACCCTGTGTCATATAATCACACACTTGTACACACATCTGCTCCACGCTATGCACTCACTTTTCTGTAACTGTGAATGCCAAAAATAATCCTGAAACAGAAACCACTTCATGACTTACACTACTAACGAACTAAAAGCTAAGTATATTGTACTTTGATAAGAATAAGTGGGGGGTTTTCCCCAGAAGAAAACCAACCTTTCCCCCAGTAGGATACAAAAGGGAAGGGTCAGTGCTGTGCTAATACGAGGGTGAGGCAGGCAGCCAGTGCTCCCAGGCTGCAGCAATGCCTAATGGCTTAGCTGCCTCACACATAACCTCATTCTTCATCTCATGCTTCAAGTCACTACCAAGGTCTAACAACATAATTAGAGGTTGCCACTGAGCAATGAGTGGCAAATGGAGGTGATCTACTTTGAATGCAAACAGCAGTGGTAGTAAGTAGCAGGGAAGAGGAACACAGATTAGAAAAGAACAATTTCAATAGCAAAGGTTGCTCAGTATTTATCCAGAAATCACATTTAAACTGTTCTTTTTTCCCACCTGACTTGTTTGAAATTTAATCAATTCTGATAAGAAATATGACTGCAAAACTACACACAGAGTCATTCAAACTATTCTGAGAGGAGCAATAGCTTAACTTTGCCTGGTGTCTCTTACTCGTGCTCTCTCTTACTATGCCCTTCAACACAGTAAAACTCTGCAAGGAGAAAGGCAGCATCCTGCAGCACCATTCCTTTTGAGAGCAGTGGACAGTACAGCCCAAGGGATTTCAGATCAAGGAAAAGATCACACTCTCCAACTAAGACTTCTGAGGTCAAGTAATGTACACGCTCAGCGCTGTCAATACACCTGCAATCCTCCAACAGAACCAAGGAGTAAAAAGCCAGGACAAAAGACACCAAATAGCTTATGCTACATCAGCCACAAAGACAGCCAAGAACATAAGCCCATATCTTCCCCAAAGAGAACTTCTGATTGTATATTTTAAATTGAGAAGCAAAAAGCATGTGGCAATAAAAAGATACTTTTTCATTATGTTCAAGAAAGTGGAAAAAAAACCCTGGTATTTAGGTTTTCCTCTATTATATATTGACTACTTTTACTTCTCTTTTACTGTGAAACAAAGTCTGGAACAAACTGCAGCTGACTGCATAAAAAAAGTGTTGATCATACTGATTTTATTTGCAAAACTTTTCATGCACACATGAAACAGATGTGTAAAACAGAGGTTTAATTTAAAATCTGAATGCTGTTCTGAAAAAACACTTCCCCTTACTCAATTTATCTCAGCAGTGACAATTTTCTAAATTAGATAAAGAGCTCCCAGCCCTGCAGTAACCTTCACAGATAAATGAGATGAGAAACACTTCTTGTACCTACTTTCCTATTTTTATCAGGAAAAGTGCTCCCTATCTGGTATATCTGAAATGCAAACATTGTTTGTAGACTCGTATTTTCATTTTGGCCAGCTCTGCAAACAACATGTAAATGTCAAATTTCTCAGCAGATCTTTGCTAATCGTGTCTTCAAAAACAAGCCTGTTCTAGAAATTAGGAGCTCCATCACACACATACACACACAATTTTAAGGTTCCAACTCTTTGAAAGGAAATGACCAAGAAACAAATCCTAAAGTTTCTGCAATGGAAGGGACACAGAATCAAGAACATTCTTAACTTTTTTTATTTTGGTAGGAAAGGCTGATTATTTTCATCAATGTCACAAACTGCTCGACACATTCAAATATTTTGTTTAAAATACGTAGCATAATAGATTAAAATGGAACACATTTTGTGCTGAATTACGTAACAGAGAAGGTATGCAAGTTTAATCAACTATTACTTAGCATATTCCCCACTTGAAGTCAGGCAATGTTCACACTACAACTCACACATTCCTCAAGCCTTTAAATGACCTGAGATTACTAGACACCCGAGGCGTATCCGTACTCCAAATTACACTGCAGTAACGTCTCTGCTGAATCTCTCCCAGGCTCACAGCACCGGTTAGGCTACAGGAAGCAATCTGCAGCAAACTGACCATAACGCTGCTGCCGGTACTGAAAAAACACAAACAAGCCGAATCTCCCACCCCTACCTAAGCAAACCGTCCGGAGTTACTCACCATTCATGGCTGTGGGAAACTGAGCCATCATGGTCCTGAATCTGCCTTGCTAGCTCTTAGCCATCTGCAACATAAAAACATTGTGCCATTAATAATGCAACAAGGGCAAAACTGCGCTGTGCGCTCCCGCTGAGCAGGGGAATGTCTGTCCCTT